TGAAAACATATATCTGAAAAGATATTTACACACTGATGTTCATAGCAGCTTTATTCATGGTGGCCAGGGCATGGAAGCAACTGAAGTACCCTACAATAGATGATTGAATAAAGAAGCAGTGGTACATATGTACAATGGAATATTACTCAACCATAAGAGATGAAATATCGCCAATTGTGACATGGATGGACCTTGAGATTATCATGCTAAGCAAAATAAGCTGGACAGAAAGTTGAAAACCACATAATATCACTTGTATGTGGGATATAAACCTAAAAGCAACAAACAAACAAGACAAGCAACAGATTCATGGACAGGGACAATAGACTAGTGGTCATCAGAGGGTAGGTGGGGAAGGAGGGAGGTAGATGGGGTAAAAAAGGTCAAATATATAGTGACAGCAAGAAATCTATGAGTGTTGAACATAAAATGCTATATATATATGTATATATATATGCCTTATTGTTGAATTGTACACCTGAAACTTATTGGATTTCATTAAGCAATGTCACCATAATAAAAATGAATGAATGAATAAATAAATAAACAAACAAACAAATAAATATATAAAATATGCTCAAAAATGACATATCTAAACTAACCTGGAAGTTATAATTGATAAAATGTATTGCTAATGGAAAAATAGTTCTACAGGTTAATATGGAAAAATTAATTCAGAATAATTGAGTGACTTATTGGAATAAGGAAATGTCTTCAATGCTTAGAGCTTTATACTGAAGACTAATTTTCAAAACTATGAATTCATAAACTTTTTAATTTGAATTTATGAAATTTCAGACAATTTAATTTGAATTTATGAAATTTCAGACAGTTCAATTTGATTGAACAAAATTTATTTTGTTCAATCAAAACAAAGGACAAATCATATCATTTATTTCTCATGTTTGAATTACTTCAAATTTCAAATTTCTTCATCTCTGGAAGAAAAGGGTTGTATATATGTTTGCTATTAATTCATTCCTTATAAAGTATTTACAGAGTTCCTTACTTTATATCCTGTGATGTCAGACTCTGAGATACAGTAGAGAAAAAGACAATCATGTCTCTACCATCATATCTGTGTTTCAGAATATAAGATATATAGGAAAGAAAGAGAGAAAAGAAACGGTGAGAGTGGGAGGGAGGGAGGAAGAGAAAGAAAAAGAGAGAGGGAAAGAAAGAAGGAAAGGAAGGGAAGAAGGAAGGAAGAGAGAAGGCTAGGGGAGGGAGGGATAATTATTTATGTTTACATGGTGTCTGAAAAAAAATTGAATTTACTTTCGACAGAGTAGGGTAGCAATCAGTGCAGTGAATCAAGGAATCCCACCCACATCGAGGGCAGAAATGTGGTGACAAGAAGGCAGAGGGGCTGCTCAGATGGTGTGGCTGGTCCTGTGTGAGCATGGGAAAATTCTTTCTTTGGTGTTGTCTTCAATTTCCTCATTTTGAAAATGAGGAGTAGGACCAGAACTTTTAAAACTCTTTCTGATGTTTTATATTAAATATTAGATGACTGAGATAGAGAGTTTCAATTCTCACTCTAGGCGATGTTGTTGCCAGTGTTCCAGTGATTGGGTCTCAGTTTATACATCTAGATATGTGAGCTGGGACTAAAAGTAGGGCTTCAGACTGGTAATCCTTACTCTATATAAAACCAATTGAGTATTTCTATTTAGGTCTCTAATACAAAGTTTCTCACTGCTGTCTTTTAACTTCAGTATATTAATCTCTGTGTAGAAACAAGATACATAGAAACACAATAAAGAAAACAATAAGGAAAGCAGAACTAGATAAATAGGCACCCCTGATAACTTGAAAAGTCAAAATCGCCCCTGCTCAGTTCGTGATTCTTTGTGTATTTGGGGACTTAATATAGGGGAGATTCTCGTCTAGCCTCTGTGTCTTGAATCAGTGTTTTTAAGATTGTGAAGTCAAAAGAAATGATCTGTAGGCTAGAGGATTGGAAATGAGAATGATGCTAATAATCTAAGAGACAATAGGAGCTTGGGGTGAGACACCTAACAAGGTGAAAGACAGGCAGGGAGAAACTAGTTCTTAGTGACTTGGACAGGAAAAGTTAGTAACTCCATGATACACATGTGGATATGAGAATAAATACCTTTTCTTTTCCATTTCTATGATTAATGTGGCTGACTTGTGATGCCTAGCCAGGCATGGGATTAGAATGCAAATGACTTGGACTTTTCAGTGCCCAGTGGGAAAAGGAGCAAGCCCAAACATCTGGGAGAAAAATCAAGCCACCCCAAGCTGACTATATAACCAGTTTTTAATCTTAAGGCAAATAAATAGGAATCAGGAGGAAACAAACACAGAGAAACCTGGGCTCGGAGGCTGGGCCTTGAGAAGTAGCTGGACCTGACAGACAGAGCTGCAGTGCCCGTATTTCATTCAGTGACCGCATGTCCATAATGCCCAGCACCTCTGCAGTAATCAGAGGATCAGCAAATACTTTTATTAAACCATGGATTATAGGAAATTGAATGGAACATATTGTGTTTTCTGTCTGTGCCCTTCATTATGTTACTGTAATCTCCTTACTATTACATTTGCAAAAGTGTCTAGGAATATACTTGCCACATTCTTAAGTTCTTGATGAGTGTTACTTTCTCTTCATTCTTTTACTTTTTCTTCTTAGATAAAATTCTTTACTGAGGCCAGCAAGACATCTTCTTTGTTTTAAAAGGAAGAAACTAGAAGAACTCATAGTTTTATTTCAGCCAATCTAAAATAAATGAAATAATTTTGTCCATTTCTTAGCATATTTGACTCAAAAGGAGCAGATATTTATGGGAAATGTGTACATATTACTCATTTGATTCTCTGAATGGCTTATGGCCACAATTATTTAAAATATTTCTATTCATTTATTATAAAAAAATGTGTGCCATCATTTATATTTTGGACACTTGAAAAGGAAATAAATAAAATACCACCATGATAAATTCTTATATCAAAGAAAATTACAGTTTTTCTCTTCTTGAGAATATTCATAGAAGCAAGACACTTATGTACATACTTTGAAATTATCACTTGAAGCAATAACTATTAATTTGTCTTGTCAAGTGCTGCTTGGCTTGCATTTTTAATATTTGCAGTACCTTAAACTTTGTTACAAAGACTGTAAATTGCTTGCCTTATAACCTTGGAAAATACTGCTATTTTAATTCTTTTTACTTGTTTGGTTCATTTTACTTGCCAGCACAGTCCTATTGGGATATATGATGAAGAAATAGGACTTCTATAATAATTTAAGGCCAACAATTTGAAATCTGTGTTTTGTATTGGAAGACTATTATAAAATGAAGGAAATCTAAAACAGAGATAATATTTTGATTTTTTTTGATGCTATTTTCCATTTTACTAATTCAGAGAGTATATATTTAATGAATTTTGTTACAGTAAGTTGATCATTTCTATTGTTTTCATTTGGTTAGTTGAGGTGCTTTTTTGCATGAAATATTAACCAATACATTCAGTAACCATTTATAAAAAAGAGATTGGTACCTGGATCACTTCAGGAGGAAATGTAAATAGTTTAATGACAGAAGGCTGGTTTAGAAAGTCAGAAGCTAAATAGAGTTTATATACATTTTGAGAGAAGATAACAGTGAGATTAAATGAAAAAATTAAGGCTTCCCATAACACCATAATGTGAAAGTTGTTAGGTGAGATAAAAATCTTGATATCTCTCTTGTGAATTTAAGAACTCAGCAGTTTTCTCTTATTATGACCTTTTACTTACGGCTGTCTGATAGCAGCTACAATTTTGAGAGGGGCCATCTGATATATACAATTTATTTGCATCTCTTGTGGCTCCATATTTTTCACATCATTGTCCATTGAACAGAATCAAGAAATAATGCTTTAATTTTATGACTAAAGAAATGAGATCCTGTGACATTTATTATCCATATTAATGTCTGAAATCACATTCTGGGTTTATTGAAAGCTAGTATGGTTTCATTGTTCTCTATGTTTCATGGTCATTTTAAAAGATTTTTAAAAAATTATATATAGTTTTATATACACAGATTCTATACCGGTTTAAGAAATTTTTAAGTTATAATAACATCTATGAAGAAAAAAATTGGTTCTATACTGTTCAGACAGTTGTTGTGGTACATTGATAGTCTCAAAACTGTAGTATTTTACTAGGAAAAAGATTGGTTTAGACCTTTGACCAAATAATATTTTGGAAGCTATATAATCATACTTCATTTTTCTACATTCTGTATATATTTAGAACTCTTAAGATTATTATGCATAAAATAATGCATTGGTAAGAAAGAATTAATGCATCCCAAGGATATAACAACATATCAGTGTTCAAAATGACAAGGCTCTCCATATTACTAATCTATAATTTTTATCTGTATTTTATATCTAAGTTTATAGTTGTGGATAAATTTATGAATAAACAGTTACCCAATTTGTAAAAGAGTCTTAAACAAATTAGTTCAATGAAATAAAAATCCATTTTAAACTAATGAATTTTCTTTTGTTTTGTTATATTAATATGTTATTTGTGATATGCCAGAATTAAACTTGGAACTCACATCACATTTTTCTTTCTTCTTTTTCACATTTATGCATTTTTCCCATTGTTGCCTTTTAAAAGATAGTTCTTTTTTATTCTAAAACTTTATCTACCCTGTTAGTTAATATACTTATTTCCAAATATACTTACTCCCAAATATACTTACTCTTTTATTTTTATACTGAAATATGTTTTTTTCTGTGTAATATCATTCGTACGTGTTCACCTTTGAATTACATTGGAGACAATGAATAATACACTATTATTTAATATAAAAAAGGAGTTTTTTAAAAAAATTCTTGCTATATAACTCCTTCGCCCAATACTATATATTGAGTCTACAGAAATTTTTACATCTGGATTTTTTTTTTATTATTATTATTATTTCTGATTATTTTCTAACTTTTTTTTTTTTAATGTATTTCTATTTTATATTATACAGTGGGAAGAGATTGGTGAAGTTGATGAAAATTATGCCCCTATCCACACATATCAAGTATGCAAAGTTATGGAACAGAATCAGAATAACTGGCTCCTGACCAGTTGGATCTCTAATGAAGGTGCTTCCAGAATCTTCATTGAACTTAAGTTTACTCTGCGGGACTGCAATAGTCTTCCTGGAGGACTGGGGACCTGTAAGGAAACTTTTAACATGTATTACTTTGAGTCAGATGATGAGAATGGGAGAAATATCAAGGAAAACCAGTACATCAAAATCGATACCATTGCCGCCGATGAAAGCTTCACAGAACTTGATCTTGGTGACCGCGTCATGAAACTGAATACAGAGGTCAGAGATGTAGGACCTCTAAGCAGAAAAGGATTTTATCTTGCCTTTCAAGATCTGGGTGCTTGCATTGCGTTGGTTTCTGTGCGTGTGTACTATAAAAAATGTCCTTCTGTGGTACGACACTTGGCTGTCTTCCCTGACACAATCACTGGAGCTGATTCTTCACAGTTGCTCGAAGTGTCGGGCTCCTGTGTCAACCATTCTGTGACAGATGAACCACCCAAAATGCACTGCAGCGCTGAAGGGGAGTGGCTGGTGCCCATCGGGAAATGCATGTGCAAGGCAGGATATGAAGAGAAAAATGGCACCTGTCAAGGTAAGATCTGCCTGTGTATCTGCAGGTGCTGCCTGCTTCATTTGGGTCATGTATATATAGTTTCTTGAATGATTATGAGTAGGTGACCTCTTACTTTGCTAATTTATGGAGATTATTTCTTTTCGAGTTTGATTTCTCCTCAGAATTTAAAATTTTCTGGCAACGATGAAAGATTTAATGTTATATTTTATTCGCTTTCTATATTTAATATTCTGTGTCTTACTTGCAATTTAGTAGTTCATATTCATTTTACTTTCAGAAATTTTATTTTTCAACAACTCAACCTAAGGGATTATTTCTTTGTAGGTAACTTTGTATGATTATTATCTGCTACTCTACTGCTATTTTCTCCTCATGGAGAGAAAATAGCAATCTATTTTCTCTTCATGGAGAGAAAGCAGCATTTTTACTTGCTATATAAAATTCAAATGCAAATCTTAGACGAGACTTGTTTTGGCATGCAAAACTGCTTTTTAAAAATTCTTCAGAAATAAGTTCGACCATATGAACTCCATAGGAAAACACTTGTAAGGTTTACTGTGTTGTTTACTTATAATTGTTAATACATACTTGCTTTTTAAAATTTACAGGTCATTTTTAAATGTGTAATAAGTAGTCCCCAAGAAAATAACTGCCTGGAGATAAGAACTAGTACAAAAAGGTCATTTCAAAGTATTTGCATTTGGTGATTTTTTTCTGTTTTAATTTTTCTTTTAAATTGAGACTCCATCATGCATATGCTTCCCTCCTCATTTGTAAATACCCTATTTTTTTTCCCATAGTATGGTGAGTTGTTGTCCTTTTAAACGTGGATATTTAGCAATGGCGTTTTAGAGCAGGATAGTATTTTATGTCAAAGTGGAGAACAGTTTATGAGGAAGAAAACATTTTTTCCTTAAAAATAAATCATTCATCCTTATGACCTGAACTTGTTTTCACCATGATGTACATGTGCTAAACAGATATTGAGAGTTAATGTGTAACTAAGGAGAAAACCAAATGCTGAGAAGTCCCTTAATCCCACCTGGTAGCTTCCGGTGCATTTTTTTTTTTTTTTTTCTGAATCCCTATATAATGCGAATCAGACTTGCTCAAGTTTGTTCAGGTATGACTGTAAATTGGCTATAGATTTAGGGAAACAAAACTGGGAGAATTACCTGTAAATCAAAGTGATTTTGCTTAATTATCTTTCTCTAGAAACATATTGTACTATTTAAATTAATTTTTTTCAGCATCAGCTCATATGTATTTTTTCTACTGGCACGAATATACACTCACTCATGAAGTTTCTTAAATCAAAATTATATTTCAGAAATACTTTTAAGGATGTCAGGGAAATTAATCATCTTTTATTCAGGATTGGATTTAAAGGAAAGTTCTAACTAACTTTAACTTTTTTTTTGAGTGGTCTACTTGTCATAAGATGAAGATACATGTAATTGCAGAATCAGAAGCAGAAATTAAATATAATCCTTTGACTACATTTCATTCTTTTCTCTAAAATATTTACAATATAAATCTTATTAATTCCTAAAAAATTGTTTACTAGTATTATAAAGCAACATACTCTATTTGATTATATGTTTATACCATATAGGGAATATGTGGTCACTTTAGTTCAGGACTTTTGTCTTCATCCATATTGACAGAGGGTATAAAAGACCTTTGCATTTTTAGAGGATAATGTTTGATTGTTACTAGGATTAAAATATTCTGCAGGTGTTTATGATGAAAATATCTTGAGAAAGTAGTGTTCTTGCAGAATATTTCTTAGTGCAGGCATTTAATGCATATTTTTCTCTTCTCATACTCTTAACAACTGAAGAGTAGACACCTAACTGAGAGTGGGGTGAGTTGTAGAGGCTACGTTATATAAAGCTTCACTACACTGAACTCTTGTTTAAGGGATGCATTCATTATCTCACTCTAGTAGTAAGAACAAAGGCTGTGGTGTCATGAAGGCTGTGAACTACACAGCCCCAGGGGGTGTTCTACAAAATGTAGTCTATATAAACAGCATCTCTTGTTTTCCAATGGACAAATGGTGTGTGGCCACTCTATGAGGAATTTCAAATGTTCATTAAATAAATAACTTATTTAATAAATAAATAAATGTTTAAGGTTTGCTTTGGAGAACAAATGCATCATAGATATTCCCTAGACATTTATATCTATACATAATATGTATATGCAAGTAAATGTATATGTGTGTGTCTTATAAAATTCCACCATAACTGAAACTCATTCTAAGATCTTAACGTGCTATACCTCAACTTTAAGTGGGGATCTTGATGGTTTTGAACTATCTTTGATAGGCCAGAAATCTAGGAAGCATTCTTAATATCTCCTTTCTACGAAACTACCTAGTTCCAATCTGTCACAAAATATTTATAGAAATTATCACCTAACTATCTCTTAAAATCATCCATGTCTCTCTATTTCCTTTTCCGCTAATCTATGAGCATATCCTATTAGAACTTTATTTTCAAATATAATGAATGAGTTTATATATAATTTTGATTTTTAAGCCATGTGAATGTATCACCTCTACAAAAATGCAAATTTGGTTGTTTCACACACCTACCCCCAACATACACACTTTAAATACTTCAGTGGTTTTCTTTAAGATAAATTTTTTTACGGTAACTTAAGATCCTGCATGATTTTGCCCCTATTATCTCTCCAGACACATCTTAAACTATGCTTGCTTCCCTTTCATGCACTAGCCACACTAGCTTTCTTTCAGTTTCTCAAAGGCAATAACTGGCTCACTTTCAACAATTATCTTCTATGATTCTGTTTCCTTCCTTTAAACATTTTTCTGCCTCCTTTATGTCCAGTTAGCTCATACTAATCCTTCAGATCTGTGCTCTAACACCTCTTCCTCAGGGAGGCTATCCTTGACCCTTCAAGATTAGGTCAGGCCTCCTTGTTATTTATTCATATAATCTTTCCTTCATAGAACCATTTAGAGTTATGATTTTGCACATATTTGTTGTTATTTGATTAATGATTCTCCCTACCCTCATTAGACTACATAATCCTTGATGGCAGGGATGGTGTATATCATCTTAAAGAATGAAAAAGAAATCAAAAAGTAGGTGGTGGGAATAATGAATTCAAAAGAAAAGAAATAGAATGGGCAAAGGCATAAAAGAATAGTATGTTTTTAAATTATTGATTTATTTTACTTTTGTATTTATCAGTAGAAAATATCATTGATCACACAACTGACAAATATGTCTTTTAAATTGATCCTTTCTTAGTTCTACAATTCTCAGGTCAAATTTTCAAGTTTCAGGTATAAAATCATATGTGATTGGTATATGCTATATTAACTATTATAGAGGACATCTTAGTGATGTTTGTAGAGCTCAAACATCACATACTGAAATGTGTTTATAAAATAGCCTTATATATCTACATTTAATTACTCAGTTCCTTTTTTTAAATATAAGATTGACATCAGACAGTTATCTGCATTGACTATGAAAATAATCAGGTTAGGATTTAGCTCAGAATCCAACCTATTGAACTACAGAAATCCCAGTTTTTATTGTTTTTGTTTTTTCCTGTTGTTATTGTTTAAGTTTTCAAAGTCGATCAATGCAGGTCTATTAGAGTAATAGATTTTGTTTGTTAGATAAAATTTTGTCCTCAAATTACTTGATTCCATAACGTTGGTCTTTTTCAAAAAAATTATCATGAAACAAATTATGAAAAAATAATGTTTTATTTATATAGATGTGAAAATAGATACTCAGATGGGTAAAGGCGTTTGCTTTGATATTAAAGCTGATGTAATACATAGAATTTCCCAAGTGTTTTTTTTCCTCACTAAATCATGATTCTCTGTCATCACGAACACAACTATTTGAGTTTATTTCTACATCTCAAAAATAGTAGAGAGATACATGTATTTAGAAAACATTTAAAAATTACTTCAAATAAGAAAGTTTGGGGCATATTTTATCAATCTATTTTGCTATAGATCTGAACTTTCTTGCCCTTGAGTTAAAATGTTCTAGAATGAAGATAATGTGCCTAAACCACAGTGAGGCTAGAAAAGTGATATATCTCAAGATTTACGTCTTTGATAATGAAGATATGTTGGGACTTAACTAAAGATATAACTATATTAAGAACCTGAAGTTTGAGTAAATTTGTTGTACTAGGAGGTGACCTGGTATTTGCTGTGAGATCATGCTCATGTAACCCGATATACGTGCAGGGCATGATGGAGTTGATCCAAAGACTTTTAGAGATTAAGTCTTAAGATTTCAGAATGCTGGGCAGCTCATTAACATAAGGTTTCAACCTAGAAGACAACCAAGAAGTGATTCAGGAGTCCCAGTTCATTTAGTAATTCATGATCTATCATCTTTGTGCCTCCACATTTAATTTGCTTTAAGAGAAACTGACTACTTTCCCCATAATAATCTGGTTTTATTTAGGTAACAAAATACTCTGGTTTCTATTGTATTAACTTAAAATATAGAATGTATTTATTTTTCTAAAGTTTACTTTTATGCCTGAATTTTCTGTAATAAATTGCTTTAAGTATACAAACTTATTTCTTTGAAATGTTCTTTATTTTCAGAAACTAATAATGTATTAAATCCATTTATACAAATGTTTTTCTACTTGTTGCCTATTATTATTTCTCATGAAATTCATGTTATTTGTTCCCTTAAGAATCATATGATTTTTTTTTTTTTTTAGTACAAAATTGTTAGCAAAAACCCATTTTGGAAGTTTCTGCTTTTTATTGAAGTGAATGTGTTTGACAGAAGCAATTGAGTTCACATGAATCAAATGTTGCCTGCTGAGTTCTCTTGTGATTATGTTGCTGACTTGAATGTAAGGCAAGACCACTAATCTTCATCAGTTGCTGGTGGAATGAAGTAGTAATTTGAAATTACCCCTAGATAATTATAGTTTCACTTATATCAAATGGTGAAAGAGATTTAGATTGTGGGTCACTGCCAAAACCAGTCAGAGCGAAGGAGGTACATAATGCCTGCTAAAATACAGGGCAAGGGGTGGAGGTTTCATGCTGAGGGCTGTGGAGAAAAAGCATTTATTAATTGTCCAACTGGGAGATGATTGCACAGCAAGGAA